TATTATTTTTATTTTCTTCCCTTCATACATACAATGACTGAGATTTCTCTGCAAATGTCCACTATCTGTTTTCTATCACTTTCGATTTCTGTGCTGCAAAATTCTTCTAATCGTCGTATATCCAATTTCTCTCTATTTAAAGTTGTAATTAACTCTACAACTAGAGTTGTATTTCCAAAACAAATATCTTCTTTTGTTTACTTAAAATCTTTAACAGCCTGTTTCTCAAGGTAAAGTCTTAACTCCATAGCATGACATTCAATTAATTGCATGACTTAACTCCAATCCGCCTTTCCAGGTGTTATATTTTCACTAAATTACAGTATAGGCATCAATCCAGCCAACCCACTGTTTTATTGGGAAAGACACTACACATTCCTTGCTACTTTAGCTCATTGTGCTACTTGGGAGGCATTTTTCCTTGATCTTTCTTAGTCAAAATCCTTTCCACTTCAAGAGACACTTTCTTCAATTTGTTGTCCTTAATGCCTGTCCTCAGCTGATACAAACCTGTCATTTCTGTATTGTCATACACTTTAGGTTTCTTTGACATTCATTTGTCTATGGTCCGTTCTACTTCAGATACTAGTACACGCCTTGCCATTCTTTTCACACTGGTATTTCTTTAAGGGCAAGGGCTATGCCCAGAAATTGATTGTTGCACTACACATAAGCAGTTTCTAAAAATGTTATTAAACACCAACTCATAAACCAAGGGACCTATACATGTAACTCATGACCATCTACATCTCTACATTCATCATTTAGATATCCCCAGGTCTACCTGGAGCAAACATGACACAGGTGATTTTTTTTCACACAACCATATACCAGTATACATGCTTTTTCTTTCAAATACATAGCTCCAATCATTTCATCTGTTAATAAACATCTCTCACTATCTATATATCTCTCTAACATGTTATACTCATAATTAAAGACATTCATACATCCCACCTGAGATATGCATATATTCACAAGAACCTGTGTAATAATATATATCTGATGTACATATCAATTGTATCAATAAATATGCAAAACTACTATTAACCTCATTATAGTTTCACTGCATCGGTTTTCAGATACGTAAGCTTGTGCAAATATATTAATAACTCCTCTCCAAATGTTACAGTTATATAGAATTTATCATTTGGGGCTCATCTTAGGCAATACTTCTTTGTAAGCCTTCCCTAAACTCCTGCCCCCCTCTTCTTCTTCACTCTATATTGCATTCATTCCAATGGTCTCCGGTGTCACTTTATCCTTTCTCAATCATAACACATATCACACAATATAATTATTGCCTCTTTACATGATCTTTTTGTACATAAAATGAACATTTTGTTTATACTTGTTTTCATAGTATCTAGAATTTTCATGGTATATAATATGAGATTAATAAACATGTATTGAATTGGTCATGTCCCATGTCAAATAACTTCTCTGATGAAGCAACTCAAACATGAGAGAATGCATGAATTTACACCTCTAGCTAACGGGCTAAAAATAAAGGAAAAGAAGGAAAGATGAGAGCAAGGAAAGAAAAGAAGTTGTAAAAGGACAGACAGAGAGAGGGAGGGAGAAAAGGAAAGAGACAGGAAGAGATGAGAGAAGTATTTTGTTTGCCCAGCCAACATTCTTCTCTATGAAGGATGCTTTCCCAGTGAAATCTCTTCTATTCTTCTTCTAAATATTATGCAGGACCTGTTTTCATCTTCAGTGGGCTAGTGTGTTTCCTCAAGTGTAATTCCTCTTCCCATTTATGATGCTTATCTTTTGCTACATTGCAAACAAACCATAATTTGGAGTTGGGGCTTGACTGAGCTCAATTTAATATTCTCACTTTATGTCTTCACATGATTGCATGACAAAAAGGGGCTGCAGCTGGATTCTCGGAAGGTTCACGAGGATGGACACCATCTAACACGGCTTCTTCACCGACAACTCTGGTGCTTCAGTACTCCTCCCCTTAACGTTAACCTAGGTTTCTTACCTGGTGCGTCAGAGCTTCAAAAGATAAAAAGCAGAAGCTGCTAGGCTAGATATGGTGTGTTCCAAAGACGTACACAGCATCATTTTTGTAGTATTCTGTTGTTCAAAGCAGTCATAGGATTTAACCAAATTCAAGGAGCTGGGAAATAGACTCCTGATGGTTACATTGCAGAAAGACATAAAGTTTATAAAATATTGTTACAGCCAACTGTGACAAATACAGTCTGGCATAGTTCCTCTCATGTGCAACATATACCCACATCTCCTCCAAACTTCCAGGTCCTACTCCATCATGGCATTCATCCAGAATTTCATCATCTAAATCCTATTTAGGTGTTGGTGAAGCTTTATAAGTTTGATTCTTTGGATATAGTTCTTGGAATATGGTTTCTCTTTCTCTGAACACTTATGAACTGAACAGATAAGTCATTTGCCTCTCACATTGCCAATGTACAATGTTATTACAGCAATAGGATCACTGCAAAAAACACTCCCATTCCAAAGTGGGAGAAAAATAGAACATACAGCCACTGCAGTGTTCATAGTATACTAAAATTTAAGGCACATATTGCCAGCTTCTTGAATGTTTAACTTGAAAGTTAAACACTTCTTTGATTATTATTATTATTATTTTCTTTATTGATTTCAGAGAGAGAGGAAGGGAGAGGAAGAAAGAGATAGAAACACAGATGAGCGAGACCATAGATTGGTCGCCTCCTGCATGCCCCCCACTGGGGATTTGGCCCACAGCCTGGGCATGTGCCCTGACTAGGAATTGAACTGGTGACTTCTTGATGCATTGGTCGATACTCAACCAGTGAGCCACATGGGCCAGGCTTTAAACACTTCCTTAATTTACCCTCTTCAGTAGGTTCTTTATTATATGTGATACTTCCAACATTCTCTGGAAATTTCATTTATCAAATATATATGTTCATTAGGTATATTTTTTATTTTCTACATGAAAAAAAGGTGACAGTTTTGTCAATTGCTCCACCATCACAAAGCACAAATCCCTTTATTCTCTGGTACATAACAATTTTATCATTCTATTTAAAGCCTTCATTAACATTGGTACCCTTTAAACTTCTGTCCAGCTACTCTCAACATCAATGCTTTGTGTTTTAGATTTTTGTTACTGCAGAATCCAACTCTTGACATCATTTTTCCTTACATTTAAGTATTATTGTTTATCACAACACCCCAAACAATAATTTTTTTCTCTCTCGAAGTTCTGTGGATTGCCTGGACTCAGCTGTGCAGTTTTCAGCTGGAATCTCAGCTGGAGTCCCTGAAGCAGCTGTAGATAGTATTTGGAACAGGAATCTAGGTCTGGGTGCAAGGCTTCTTTTTCGCTCAGATGTCAGGCACCTCAGTCTACCTCCACACTGACTCCTGTTCGATCAGAGTAAAACCCAAGGGGTCCTTACGTGGTATCATGAAAATGAGAAAAGGTTTGATATCAGTTAAGGACTCTGCCAAGAACTGGCATAGATTGACTTCTGTTGTAGTCACAGCAGTTGCAGGGTCTCAAACTGATTGCAAAGTGTAAAGAAGAGTTTATTCTTCATGACAGTGCAGCAAGATCACGCGTGCAAAGCACAGTTATACTCATGTTTAGAAAATACAATTTGCCACACTCAGCTTTCTTTCATTTTATCATAAGTGATTGTTCATTTTCTACCTTCTCTCTAGGTTCAGTATTATGTTCCCAAACATCTCTATCATTGTTCACCAGTGATTAGTTTCCAGTGCTCCCACATCAACTCTCATCATATATGCATGTATATGGTTTTCTGTTTTTTTATTAGGTTTTATCTCTAGACATTCCAAGGTAGCCAACATACCTTTGCTTATGTGTACAGACATTTATAGGGATTCATGGAGCAGGACACATTTCTTCCTTTCCAGGATAATATGCCATGACAGCAGTTTCCTCCCATAACTCAAGAAGTTAGCTTATCTTCTGGCCCCTGCTCCACTCTGACAAAACTCTCAACGCACTCGAGATACCATTTCAGAAAAAAAGGTGGTTTGGGCACAATATGGAGTGGTAAAACATATAGAGGAGAGTGGTATTTAAATATTTTCACTAATTATGTACCTCAACAATCATTCATTCATAAGTTCACATTTTCACCTACTGAAAATAATTATACATTCTTCAGAATGTGACATCTTTCCACTATATATGCTATGAATGTCCTTATTTAGAGTTAATGAAAATAAATGTATTACTGACAGTTGTTTTTGATAGCTCTGACTCAACCCAGCCAGCGGTACCACAGCTGCTATGATATTTCTATAATCCCATCTGCCATGTGAAGAATGCCATCCTTATAGAGGATTATTCACTCCTATTGGAAAATCTCCATGGACAAAGAGCTTTTTATTTACACAAATGTATTTTTATTTTGGGGCTGTGTGTTTCCAAAGAGTTCTTAGCAATAATGAGCTAAATTTTACCTTTTTTTAAATCAACAACTCCTAAACTATATAAAATTTGGTCATCACAAAAAAATATATTATGTCTAGCACATTCTTATCATTGAAGAGACAGTCACAAGAGCCTTCAAATTCTATTTTTATAATGGTAAGAATTCTAACTTGTTTAGTAATCTTAGTTATTTTCAATTCAGGAAAAAAACAAAAATTTGTTTAGTTTGTAAATGACTCACAAAGTCTTATACCCCACAGGGGAGAAAAAAAGGTACATTTTTAGCACCAATTAGGTACAAAACTATAGTATACCCTTAATTCTCATAGCAGGATTATATAAAAATATTTTTTAAAGACAAAGGAAGGGAGAGATGGAGGAAGATAGAAATTTATGATATATACTTATTTTCACCCAGGGTTATTTTATAGTCTGAATACTCCTGTTTTGGGAATATTGATTATTTAGGGGAGATCATTATAATGTAAAAACCTCACCACGGTAGACATAGTGCAATGAGTTTTCATCTTAAACAGATAAATACATACATTTCCTATTATATATATATATATCACCCCTGGGTGTCAGGCTTCAGAATACAAATCTGTTCAAGCCGCCTGCGGATCTCTTTGGTCTTTACACCATAGACAATGGGGTTAAGAGCAGGTGGCACAAGAAGATAAATATTAGACAATAAGATGTGAACATAAGGTAGCACATGTCCAAAACGGTGGCTGAAGAAAGAAAAAAAGGCAAGGACATAAAACTCAAGGAAGACGACAATATGGGCAGCACACATGTTGAGTGCTTTAAGTCGTGCCTTCTTCTGAGGAAGATGGAAAACAGTCTGAAAAATTAGAATGTAAGAGATGAAGACAAAGATCATGTCAAAACCCAGAATTGCTAAAGCTACAAAGAGCCCATATGATTTGTTAACATGGACATCTTCTGCAGCCAGCTTGACCACAGCCATGTGCTCACAGTAGGAATGGACAATAACCACGGACTGGAAACGTTGCAGTCGTTTAAGTAGAATGGGTAAAATCCCAACAAGTACCGTTGCCCGAGTTGCCACCATTAGTACCGTCTGAACTAGAAAGAAAGGTGTGAGGATAGATGTGTGCCTCAAAGGATCACAGATGGCAACATAGCGGTCAAAAGCCATGGACAACAAGATACCAGATTCCATACCCTGCAAGGCATGAATGAAGAAGAGCTGGGTAAGACAAACATCAAAAGCCATCGAACAAGAGCCAAACCAGAAGATGGCCAACATCTTTGGAGTGATGGCTACACAGAGACCTGGATCAGTGGCTGCAAGCACTGCCAGAAAAATGTACATGGGTTGGTGAAGGCTGCGTTCTGTAGGGATGATGATTAACAAGAAAATGTTTCCCAGCAGAGACACCAGACATATACCAAAAAAGGGAAATCCAATCCAAAACTGCACATGCTCTAGTCCAGGGATCCCAATCAGGGTCACTGTCTTTGGGTTCAGATAGGACATGTTGGTAGATTCCATCAGGCTTGTAAATCCTTTCCTCACCACTGATTCCATTACCTATTCAAAGAAAAAAAAATATGGATAGGAAGAAAGAAGAGAATTTTCCTCATCTTTTCTCCAAGAGCATGAAAAACATGATGGAAATATGGCCACTTGACTTTGAATCTTTGGGAATAAATTTAAGTCAATATCAGAATAGAATTCTTGGATACCTTCTTCAGAAGTCAATGTGGGTGTTTCTGAATGAGGAAGGTAGGTCCAATGTTTATCACCTAGAAATTTTAAAAATAGAAATTATGATTCTAACAGCAATGCCTTTGCTGATTTTTGAAGTGTTCTCGGATGGTTTCACAGATAACATTAATCTTTTTGTCTATATCCACCTCCTAACTCCAAATAAACTTGTGATTAGGCAAAATTTCTCTGTGACACTTGAAACTGTATACTAGATCATTAATCCCATAACTTTATTCATTTTGCTCAAAGCTCAGAGTCCCTAGAGAATGGCAGCCTTTTTTCAGTCTTTCCATTTTCTCTAGTAGAGGAAACAAAGTACCTCTCCACAAATCTAACAAATTGACTCTCAAGTGAGAAAGTGAGGAAGTTTGTTGTTTCAGCAAATATTGGTTGACTTGTTTATATGCAGGACTTTTAGCCAGGTTTTTTGAAGTGAGGTGGAGGAGTTGCTTTTATCAGTAGTGGAGGAGCATACTTGACATACTAAGATAATTCTGGTCTATTATATTTAAAAGTGGTTGTTTAAGAGAATGGGGTAGAAGATAATGTGAGTGCTCACAGGTTTTACAGGAGACAGAAAGTTGGAAGATAGGAAGTCAGAATAATTAAAAGGCACCATCAACTAGGACAGAATAGTGACACAAACTGGCCTATTGGCTAAATCCTGCAGCTTAAGTATTTTGATGATATTAATGTGTTTCAGATCAAAAGAGTACAGTTGGCTGTGGGTTGCACTACCTTTCAAAATGAAGTTCAATCAAACCTAGGTGTTTTCTTTCATTGTACTGCTATCAGTTGGCAATAAAAATAAATTATGATATTTTTATTATATTGCTTCACTTCACAACCACTCTATTTTGATAATATTCAAACTCTTTTTCTTTAAAAATCTACTCACTAAAGATAATTTTATATACTCTCTTTTTTATTTTTCATTAACCATTCTACAAGCTTAACATCATTCAAAAGTTTTATTTTATCTTCCTTATGATTTTGTCATAGCCAAATATATTGAAGAAGGAATACCACTATGAATGGGACTTTATATATTTTTCTTTAAAGGGAAACTAGAGTCATTACTGCTGTAAAATTATAGGAAATAAATTGACAGGTTCACATCACAGTCAATAGAAATATACATGTGGGTATAACTTAAAAATCCTCAATGTAATAAAATGCTTTAATAGTCTATGAAAAGAAGGAGATCATAGTATATGAGCTTTGGTAGCTATATTCATCAGTAGACTATGTCTAAGGCAATGAAGAAAGATTGACTAAAACAATTAGAAATTTTTTGAAAAGAAATTCCTTTTGCTGCCCATATAAAATAAGTTTAGGTCCCAGCCGGTTTGGCTAAGCAGTTAGTGTGTATCAGCCCATGAACCAAAAAACTGGATGTTTGATTCTGGGTTGCATGTTCCATCCTTGGCAACCAATCAAAATGTCTCTCTTACATCAATGTTTCTTTCTTTCTCTCTCTCCCTCCCTTCCTTCCATGCCATCTAAAAAAAAAAAAGAAAAATCAATATTCTTGGGTGAGTATTAACAAAAAATAAATAAATAAGAAGGCGTAATGGTGGATTCTCTATAAGTGATGGTGATTAATACGGTATATCTTGTTATTGTGACATGAGCAGACAAAGAGCATAGCTTTGATATGAAAAAGATGATATATCCCACATAATGATTTATAAACTGTCTGACAATGTAAGGATAAAAGTAAAATTTAGCTCTAAGTACAAAATTACAGATGATAATGAATTCATCAAATTATTTTTCTTCTATGTAGTACATTTTGAATACTATATAATATATAAATGAACATATATTACAAATATATGTATACATATAATATTTGCTGGTATAACATGAAGTGTGTAACATTATTTTATATAAATATATATTATATTATATACATATGTTTATATATATGCCTATATATCATATCTAAATATGTATGTAATTTCTGTGTATTATGATTTATTTACTATTTTTTTTATTCCACACCTGAGGATATTTTTCCATTGATTTTCTAGATAGAGTGCAAGAAAGGGAGAGAGAGAGAAACATCTATGTGAGAGAGACACATCAATTGGTTGCCTTCTGCACAACCCTGACAGGGGCCGGGATCAAATCTGCAACCCAGAATCTAACCCATGACCCTTTGGCTAACCGCTGAGCCAAACCAGTCAGAATGTGTATTATGGTTTTTGACATCTTAGAAAACCTTTCCCTCTGGATAAAGACTGCCCCTACCTACCTAGGCTAGCCTATTCTTAGAGAGAGCAAAGGGCCCAGCCAAGAGCATAGCTTTGATATGCAAACAAATCAATTCATACACCCTTTATCTGGCCCATACACTCCAGGAGACAATATTCTTCTGCCTTAATCATTCTGAGGCTAGGTATCCGGCAAGTAGAGACCACCCCCATACTCAAAGTCCACCAAAATTATTTAAACTAGCCAATCCTAAACTGTTCACCATTCCTTGCCTTGCCTTTCCTGTGGAAACCCTAGTAGGCCTTGGCTTAAGCACCTTAACTCCCCCACCCCACACCCTCCTTCTGTGTAAACCCCAGCCCCATCACCCTGTTATCTTGGTGGTTTTTATTTGGCCCTGCAGAGCCTGCTGCATCTCCTGTCTCTAGGACCTGTTGGTATATGATAACCTTTGTTTTCCTGAGCCTTTCCTCTGTTTTCTCCTGTGGCTGCATCTGTCTGATCATCTCATGAAAACCAAACAAACAAACAAAAAGGGCATAGAGGGGATAAATGGTGATGGAAAAATTGAATTAAAGAAAAATGGGATGGCAATTTAGAAATATAATATCATCTAATGCAGGATTGACGTTTTTACCTCACATGGAATCTTGTCCAAATTTCTTAAGTTTACATAATTGTAAGTGAGAGTAATAATATCACTTAATTCATTGAATTATCGGAAGGGCTAAATAAGTTTATATATGAAAAATTCAGCACAAAGTATAAAAGAAAGTATTTGCTCAATGTTTGGTAGCTAGTGCTTATCAGAACTTATAGAGAACTTTGGTGAAGACAGAGACACAAGGAAGTCTAAAACAAAGTATAAAAATGAGTAAACTTTTAAAGAAAAGATTAAAAATTCATGAGATGATGAATTTTCTGGAGCAGAATAACCTTCCTCAATTTGATCAATAAGATTGGACATTCATGTAAGCAGATGAAATGACTTCTAATGAAGTATAGACCTTGGTAGAGTCGACATATTTCACTTACTTAAATTGATGTGGCCACCACACCTGAGAAATAATTATATCCTCTTTTAAAGTCTTACTAGGTAGATGAAAAATGTGAATAGGAAAACCAGTTTTCTAAAAGTGTTTAGATTAAAAATAGCTTCTAAGACAGCAAAAACATGCATTTTATATAATTTATCTGTCTGTGATAATCATATCAGAAAATGTTTATTCCTGGTCTGTGAGAGAAATAGAAAGAGGAAGGAATAAAAATATATCTTAAATAGAGGCAGGATAAAGTGTTAGATACAAGAGACAGACAAAAAATAGACTGTATTTCAGAGGACAGGGTATGAGTTATATTTACAATAGCAACAAGATCAGATACCAAAGCTCTTAAAGTACTAGAATCTTTTATCTCTGATTTTTTTTACATATTTTAAGCTCTCCTGCTCAAACTGCAAACACACACACACACACACACACTTTTCAAACCACAAGAGTATCTCGTCTCTTGTTTTTAATAAACTAAGCAATGTTAGAACTACTTTGTATGTAAACATTAGAAGAGGAAGCTGAAAACTTTATTTTCATCTTTTCCTGCCCCTGGCATCATCAGTTCTGAGTTTTCTTCAAGTGTAATTAAGAAGATAGTAGTAAATTAACTTTGCATCCCTTCTGTCTCTAACTGACATGATTCTAATCTAGCTGTCTTATTAATGATAAAGTTGAATAAGAGGAAAAAAGTTGACATGCCAAAGGAAAGTTTGTTACTGAGAGATACAGGACCAAGATTATGTAATTCACTGTCCTTTCCACCTCTGTTAAAATTTTCGGAAGAAAACTCACCCAGAAAAATTGCTAGAATGTATAAGCAGGGTATGGAAGAGTTCTCTGCTGTCAAGCTTTGGACTTGGAAACATACTAGATACTGCATATCTGTCATCAACTGTCTTTAGCTGTTGGTTTTCTTGGTTTTAGAATGTTATCTGATCCCAGTGCAATTTTCACACCTGGCCCTAGAGAGGTCATTACACTGCTGAAACTCAGCTGTCTCTTACAGGAGAAAGGTAACCCTGCATGAGAGCAGGTAGCCAAAAAGCACTCAGTTACTTCATGAGTCGATTCCAAAATATAAGAAGCAGGAAATCTCAAATTATTGGTCACTTTCAGAGCAAGGTGAATCTAAAATCATTTAGAGTGTGGAGAAAGAAAATCTGACAAATGAAAAATCTGTGGACTGAAATGAAGGAAGACAGTAATTTCATCCACCTTCTGGCCTACAGCCAGAATAGAAGCATAAGAAAACAGAAAAGATATTTATCTTTATAAATATGTTACTATTATATATATATGTTTACTCTATATTAATATATAGGAAGAAACTCATATCTAAAAGAACTTTTATTATTATTAGTGCCACTATCATTGTTGACACTAAGGATATAAAAAGTTTGTCATTTTTTGTTTTGGATTTTGAAACTGAAAAGTGCTAGTCATCCCATGCCACTTCGTACTTTGACTTTTACAGCTTCACTCTATCGTGGTTTTGTCGAATATAGTATA